ATATATATATATATACATAAAATAAAAAATAAAAAAACTACTACTTACTGCTTGTACTACTATTCCTACTTCACGGGTTTTCACTTATCGCCGGGCTTCAGGGTACGGATCGCACGCGATAAATGAGGGACTATTGTAACTAAAGTCGTTATGTAAATTAACCAAGTATTACAATGAGCTGTTACCTTTTAAATTGGTTTGTTTTATTGCATGGAATCATAAATGCAATAAATAAAACCCAAACACTGACATCCCCCAAAGAAACAATAATAATTAAAAAACAAATTAAGTCATTGGTGGGCTGGACAGAAGTCAGTCACCCACAGCCGCCAGTTGACTGGCCCTGTTCTATACAGATCCGAGTCATTTAAAGTAAGAATCGACCGAGTCTCAGTCCGATTCTTGCATTATTTTGCCACTTGTTCTGAGGATGCAGACACATTTTCTTGTTTCCAGTGTTGGGATTAGAGCTTCCATCAACTAGATTATATGACCTCCATAATACTCCTAATTAGGCTTCAGATGGTGCTGCGTTAAACGTTACCTCACTGTGCTGCTAGCTGGCGGAGACCAGAGAAGGGAGAGGTGACAGAGTTGTGTACAGTATGACTTGTTTGGCCTGATTATTGAGTCTGTACTGTTTGGTTTAACCTGTTTCAGGAAATGTAACTGTTGCCTCAGTGGCCTCCATGTTGAATGTTTAGGACTGGAAGGATGATCTGTTAGTCTTTTACCACCCAAAGGCAAAGAGAAAACACAACGAACGACCAGCAGCCTTAAATTTCCAGACTTGTTCAACACAGCAGGTGCAGGAGATGTTACATGTCTTACAGCATGTTGTATGGTATAAAGAGCACCTTTAAAATATATTTAACATAAAGTTTGACTGATGACACTGACAGTACCAAACTACACAGAAGACTACAGAGTATTGATATGAATAGTCTAATCTGGAGTACCTGCATGTTTGTCAGCAGAAATAAGATTCCTCCCACGGCCAGGAGGGAGAGAGCCGGGAAGAGCAAGGAGGCGAGAGCTGGTGGGAATAAAGAAAATTCAGAACAAATAATTTTAATGCATTTTTTAATTTAATTTTCAGGGTTTTTATGTGGTTTAGAAAAAACATTATTTAGTTTTTCACCTGATGAAGAGAACGCCACCAACAGGGTCCCCATGGTGTAAAGAAATCTGAAGGGAAACCGAGAAGTGGTCTTTTAAAAAAAAAATTATACATCGTAAGATAGATAAAAAAAAAAAAACATTTATAGCACTTAAGAAAACATGTGACCCAAAGAACACAAAGCCTCAGCGAACTCCAAATCACGATGTCTCCTTTCAGCCGACTTTAATTTCCTTTTTTGGGGTGGTATTAATCACATTTTATCCTCGTCTCCACCTAACTCCTCGTGTTGAGTTATTCATTCCTCGGCTCTTTATTTATCTTCCACCCTCTTTTAGGAGAAACACATGGGTAGACTTAGTGAGCGCCTATGGATTTATGGGTAAAAACACAACCAGTGTGTTTTTTATACAGATTTCAAATTATACGAGGTATTAAGGGAGTCCGAGGCGTTTGAAACATGAAATAAACAAAACCTTCTCACATTCTTTCATCACAAACTGTACTGAACTTTCACCAAATCATTTTATCTATCCAGCTTTATTCTTTCAACAGTCAGCTGAACAAAATGACCTTGAATTCCCCTTCAAGCACGAATCAAACAAGTATTTTTATAGCAAATGATAGCCTTCCTTGAAAGAGAGCACATGATGAGAAATGGCTGTTGTGTTCTAACCTTGTGAAGGATGTTTTGAACTAGCTCATGCACTCGGAGTGGATCAATGTCTATAAAATTGTTTGAGTTGTAGCCATTTTTGTGTTTCTTAAGGTCTGTTGAAGAAGCATTTCCAATGATTACTTTATCAAAGTTTCATTAATTGTCCTCTGGTTCATGAGAGAATTTGCTAACAGAACAGACGAATGAGCGCACATTGACGGGACGAAAAACATTATCCATTGCCCTTTTGCCTTTGGCGATTAAAAAGTGGTTTCAGTGAGACCAAAATAAATTATGATCTTTTAAAGAGGGCTTTTGTGGATTTATCTCCAAATTTATTGTACCTCTCAAATTAAACCACCATAAAATACCTCTCAAATTAAACCACCATAAAAACCTTTAGAATGCAGAATGCCTCAACCCTCCTGCTGCACTTGGGTCAAAGTGTCTTAACACTGAGGCCTTGTGTAATTTTGACCCAAAGGCAGCTGTAGGGTTAAAGATCTCTGTGGCTGAGAACATCTTTTTCATATGATCTGTGCAGTGAAGGGTTTTAAATATTACAATGTGCGTCTACACATGGTGCATCTTTAGCTTTTTGAAATATTTAGCCTTTTCTGACATTTTTTTCTCTTAGTTAATGAATTGAGCTCATTTTACATCCTTCAAATCTTTAGATCTATTTACAACCTTTTACTGCTCCTTTCACATTTTGTTCTGGTTCAGCTTCTTTCAGCTTCCTTGTGCAAATGTAAACTTTTTTCTGCTATTTTCAGCCGTTTCCTCAGCTGCTAATTTCAGGTTGTTTTTTTTTAGCTAATTTCCTAATTTTTGTGCTCATTTCTGCTTATTTAAACCTACATCAGCAAATATGTGTTCTTTCTGCTGTCTTCTGCTAAAGTAGTCTTCCATTTCAGCTACATTTGAGTGCATTTGATTAGCTAATTTCAGCCGTTTTTCAGCAAGTTCTAACTAAGAAATAAAAGTTTAAATAAATTTTGCAGCTGCCTCCTGACGTTTCACAAACTTTCCTGTCTGTTTTTCTCGTTTACTTCTTTGTCCTCACCAAACACGCGTGTCCAGCTGTCCAGTAAACTACATCGAACTACTGCTGCTTCCTGGAGACCACAGCTACCTCTGAGAATTTCACATCCTGATGTGCCTCTTCTTAAGCTCAGTCTCTCTTTTACCTTCACAGCAGTAGATTTATCCACATTCACAACCAAACAATACAAATTCCTCTCCTCTCCGTCCCTACAGGACTTCAGTATCCTGACTCTGCCCTCTGAGAAAACAAACATTATTTGAAGCAACCAGATTCAGGAATTCCTCAGAAATATACCAGAGACACACAGGATTAAGTTTACTCACAAGCTTAGCTACCAAAAATATAGAATAATGGTCATGAACAAAGGTACTTAGTTAAACTGCTGCATAATATAAATAAAAAAACTCACCAAATATTAAGAAACTTGTTTTAGTCTTTTCTAATCAAGCATGGGCAGCTTGTACAGAACTTAACACGTCTAAAAATACAGTCAGCTAATCACAATTATTCTGAAACTTCCAGTTGGAGCCAGAGGACAGTAAATGAACACAAAGGGTTTGCTGTCTGTTTTTTTTTTTTTTTTAACAACAGGACTTCCTAACATGATGCTGAAGTTGTGTCCAATTTAACCCAAACCAACAAAAGTTATTGAATCACAACTAAAATATCCTGATCCACACATTTATTCAGTCACAAAAAACAGAAGTATAAAAATCTAAATCTGTAGAAAAACTGTTCCAAGTAAGTTTGTGCTTGAATGTGTCTGTCTGGTATGAAAATAGCTAATGAACTATTGGACCAATACTAATTAAAAAGGTAAGTAATAAATGTTTATCTATGATGATTTATTTTATTTTATTAATCCAACAGAAGATGGCCAACCAAAGCAAATCCACATTAACCAACACAAACACGACTAACAGTCAGTTTTACAGATATTGGGCTAAAATGAGATATAGTAGCGGAGTCATTAACAACACACACTCTGGGCGTGATGTATCATTCCAGGAGATTGTGCATAATGCTATTTTTAAGGTTTGACTAAAAACACTAACCGTCTTTTGTCTGTGCCTGTAACTTTGTCTTTTCTTTTCATGTTCTGTTAAAACATTTTGGTTGAAATGACCTGTTTTGTCTCCATTGTTTGTTTCTCAGTATATGCAGCTTTCTCACTTGACCATACCTTTGTTTTGCTGTGTGCTCACACCATGTGCAGTTCAGTCCAGTTTTAACATTTCTTATCAAGTATTTATTTGAACAAGAAGGTGGAACTGGAGGAAAATACAGGGCTTTGTGAAAGTATTAGGCCCCCTTGAACTTTTCAACCTTTTGCCTCATTTCAGGTTTCAAACATAAAGATATAAAAAATTTTGTGAAAAATCAACAACAAGTCAACAAAAAAAAAAATATCAACAAGTGGGACACAGTCATGAAGTGGAATGAAATTTATTGGATGCGTCAAACTTTTTTAACAAATAAGAAACTGAAAAGTGGGGCGTGCAATATCATTCGGCACCCTTGCGTTAATACTTTGTAGCGCCGCCTTTTGCTGCAGTTCCAGCTGCAAGTCTCTTGGGGTTTGTCTCTATCAGTTTTGCACATGGAGACACTGAACATTCTTTCTTGCAAAACAGCTCGAGCTCAGTGAGGTTGGATGGAGAGCGTTTGTGAACAGCAGTCTTCAGCTCTTTCCACAGATTCTCGATTGGATTCAGGTCTGGACTTTGACTTGGCCATTCCAACACCTGGATATGTTTATTTGTGAACCATTCTATTGTAGATTTGGCTTTATGTTTTGGATCAGTGTCTTGTTGGAAGATAAATCTCCGTCCCAGTCTCAGGTCTCTTGCAGACTCAAACAGGTTTTCTTCCAGAATGGTCCTGTATTTGGCCCCATCCATCTTCTCATCAATTCTGACCATCTTCTCTGTCCCTGCTGATGAAAAGCAGGCCCAAACCATGATGCTGCCACCACCATGTTTGACAGTGGGGACGGTGTGTTCAGGGTGATGAGCTGTGTTGCTTTTACGCTAAACATATCGTTTTGCATTGTGGCCAAACAGTTGGATTTTGGTTTCATCTGACCAGAGCACATGTTCCACATGTTTGGTGTGTCTCCCAGGTGCTTGTGGCAAACTTTAAACACTTTTTATGGATATCTTTGAGAAATGGCTTTCTTCTTGCCACTCTTCCATAAAGGCCAGATTTGTGCAGTGTACGACTGATTGTTGTCCTATGGACAGACTCTCCCACCTCAGCTGTAGATCTCTGCAGTTCATCTAGAGTGATCATGGGCCTCTTGGCTGCATCTCTGATCAGTCTTCTCCTTGTTCGAGAAGAAAGTTTAGAGGGACGGCCGGGTCTTGGTAGATTTGCAGTGGTCTGATACTCCTTCCATTTCAATATGATTGCTTGCACAGTGCTCCTTGGGATGTTTAAAGCTTGGGAAATCTTTTTGTATCCAAATCTGGCTTTAAACTTCTCCACAACAGTATCTCGGACCTGCCTGGTGTGTTCCTTGGTCTTCATGATGTTCTCTGCACTTTGAACAGAACCCTGAGACTATCACAGAGCAGGTGCATTTATACATAAAGAGACTTGATTACACACAGGTGGATTCTATTTATCATCATCAGTCATTTGGGACAACATTGGATCATTCATAGATCCTCACTGAACTTCTGGAGTGAGTTTGCTGCACTGAAAGTAAAGGGGCCGAATAATATTGCACGCCCCACTTTTCAGTTTTTTATTTGTTAAAAATACTTTACGAATACTTTCACAAGGCATTGTACAAAGCCTAGTATTATATTTGTATCCCGAAAACAAAGCAACAAACATTCATCCTGGTTTTAATGAAACTTTCATCAAGTAATGATTGGCTTAAGAACAGTTCCTGAGTAAGTTTCATCATCTGGAAGACTCTGAATGAATAGATGAATACAATGTTTAAAATTAGTGTTTTTCCTCCTGTGAAACACTAAGATGTGACCGCTGTTATCGGGGTTTAGTGACCATGAAGTTCTCTACAAGGTGAAATGATACAAAACAACTAAAAAGAGTTTATTGTTTTTAAATATCCATCAGTCCCACGTCATATAATCCAAGTAGAAAGCATAACATTGTTTTTAACTTTTTATTTTTAAACTAACTTCCTGTTTTCATTTGGTTTTAACCATCCAACCTCTTGCCACTGCACAAATGATGCATTTAGGAAAACTAATGGTTAAAACTTAAAACTCGTTTCACACTTTTATACTAATGAACAACCTATTATTGGGTTTCTGGTTGATTCTTTGTCTCCTTATTCCTCCTAACTATTAATAAGAGGATTGAAATTTCAGTGTGGAAGCTGCAAGTTAAAATTTTAAGACAAGGTTAAAACCAAGAAGCAACAGTTTAGTATTATTTATGGGAAAACAGGATCTTGGTTTTACGCTGATGAAGATTCTCAGTCATGCAGGACATGGTAAATTAAAACAAAGGTTAAAAACAAAACTTTATTTGTAACTGAAGACATTTCGCTTCTCATCCGAGGAGCTTTCTCAAGTCAAAGAAACAAGGAGTGTGGGATTCAAGTTATAAAGCAGGGGTGTTCTGTAAGCTTGCATAATGCAGATTGATCTGCATGTGTCAAGTAGCATTTTCAGTTAATTCCACATTTTTGGAGCTCATTTAAGCTCTTTCTGCTTCCTTCTGGTAGTTTAAGCTTCGTTCTGCATTTTCAGCTACTTTTCTGCTATTTTTTTTTTTTTTTACTAATTTCAGCTTTTTTTTTTAGCCAAGTTCCTAATTTTTGTGCTTATTTCTGCTCATTTAAACCTAAACCAGCAAATATGTGTTTTTTCTGTTGTCTTCTGCTAAATTAGGCTTAGTCTTCCATTTCAGCTAAATTTGAGAATGTTTTATTAGGTAATTTCAGCTGTTTTTCAGCAAGTTATTCAGCAATAAGCATTTACACTGCATTTTTGCAGGAAATGTTAATGTCTCTAGTTAGTGCTTAGTTTTCTTGTCTTGAGGTTTATTTTGATCTCATTTCCTACAATGTTTGATGTTTTTTGTGTTCATTTCATTCTTTTGGCTCCCTCCAGCCATCATCAATAATGTTCCATCATCAGTCTTCACTCTGCGGCTCTGCCCACCTGCTTATACCAGTTATTTGTAGACATGTTGCTCCGGTGTCCCTACTCATTTGATCAGCCCCAGTCCATTTATATCTATTTATTTATCCATGTCTACTTCAGTTATTTGTCATTTTGTATTGATTTGCTGCCTCAAGGCTTTTCATTTTTTTAATCTTTAGTTTTTTCCTCAAGCTTCTTGTGATTGTCCAAAATTCTGGGTTCTGCTTGACAAACAACACATTTTTATGGTTTAATCTGCTGGAAGAAACTTTAGAGACCAAGACAGACAGATTTGAACCAGATTTTTTAAATTATGTTTTATCCTTGGCATGTTTTTTAGACCTAGGCATGAGTCTTAGATGTTTTCAGTCAGAGGAGAGCTCCCATGTAGGAGTCAAAAACAGCTCTCATGCTATGGAGACGAGCTGAAGACCCTCATGATAAAAGTTTGATGCAACTCGTGCGAGAACAGTGAGAGTCCTCACAAATGTTTTGAAACCTTTTGGAGACTTTTTCACTAATGTTCTCCAACTAGCTGCCAACAAACACAGCTCAAAGAAATGCAAAGAAATCCAGACTTTATCATAATCTATTAAAGTATTATTGATCAGTAGTTATTAAAGGCTTTCAAAATATATTTCACAAGTTTTCTTTAGATTCTGGTTTTATTTTAACTTGTTTTCTGCCCAGTCCTTGCCGTGTGGTGCCTAAGAATGAGGAAAGTTGAGGACAAAAGAAGTGCCAGGCCTAAAATAAACTATCAGTGGAGGAACAGTATATATGAAGTCTTGTCTTAATGGAGCAATAAATAAATAAATAAATCTGTTTTATGCAAATAGTCAGGTACTGGACAGAATGTGAATGACAACAAGCAGCTGAAGTCCAAAGAAAACTGTTCAAACATCTTCAGAAAGCCTGAGGAGTTATTGATCAACATGTGAGACTCTCTGGAAGCAAATTATAAAAGAAAGGAGTCACTCAGGGCTTTTGCACGGTGCTGAAGATAGAACAGTCTGCTGATCGATGTACAGATGTTTTTGAGTCGAGGTGTACTCACATGCCATAGAGCCGAGTCACTGTAGTACCGAAGTGATCAAAGAGGAACCCGTTGGGCAGTGTCAGGAAATTGTTCATAAAGGAAGCGATGGTAAAAATAAGTGAGAACTGTTCATCCTGAGCGCTGCAGTCTGCAGAAAATATAAAAAGACAGAAAGAAACCATGAGGAATGTTTAAATAAGTGTGCTAGAGGACTCACAATTTTTTAATATTAATCCATTTAGACTTCAACGTGATGAAGATTACGGTGCAGCTTTACCTAAAGACTGTGTGCCGTTGATTTCTGTGCCATTGACACACAGAGAGGCGAAATAGCCGTCCTCCTTGAGGATAAAAACGAGAGAAGCCCATCCAAACACAGCTCCAGCGAAGCAGAGACACTCCAACAGCCCCGTGACAAAGGTGAGGCAGCGTCGCACCGACAGCTTGTTCTCCATCGTCACTCACACACAAGCACTCGCTGACAGGAAATCCACAATCACTACGTCTTCACCTGCATCGATGAACACAAACTCACTCACACAGGCAGCTTCAGCCTTCACCCCTGAATCCTTTAGAAATAAAAGACAGAAAACACTTTGTTCTTAGTGCGAATGAAGATTTAAAACAAAGCAGTGAAAACGTTGCTCATTTTATGAATACGTAGTAATCCTGTAGGAGACATCAGATGGAACAGTCTGAAGCTGCATTAAATGGAACTAAAAACATTTTTTCTTTCTTAAAAAAAAAAAAAAAAAACGTATGTTGCAAAACACATTTTAACAGATGAAAATCGAAAACCCACAAATATGCCTAAAACTATCCTTCAAAATAAGAGCACATTGCTTACTGTTGTTTGGTAATCAGAATGCAGAGGGTCTTTCCAATACCTCTCCACGTTTACAACTCTTCTGTGATCGTAGTTTTGCTTTAAATAGACCAACTCTTCCTCTTCCCTACCCCACTAACCCCTCCTTCCTTTCCTTTCCTTGGCCAATGTTTCTCTGCTGCCTCAACCACTCACTGCTCTGCAGAAAAAAAAACAAAAAAAAACTACACAACAACCCTGGCCTCCGGGTGCTGGTGGCTGTTAAAAAAAAAACAAAAAAACATTGCTGCATTCCTGACAAGCCAAACGGTGAAGCAACAAGATCTATGAGACATGTTCCAGATGTGGATGAGGTGGGACCCAACACGCTGGTTCAGCCAAGAGGTCACATGACTCACAGAAATGCTGACCGACTCACTTTGTCAAAGTCAGGTTCATTTGAGGATAGAAACTCTGATAAAGGATGCTGCAGTGAGTCGAAGCTTTCCACGATGCTAACAGCTTCTCAACAGAAAAAAATTATATTATATATATATATATATATATATATATATATACATATATCACTTTTGTTTTATAAATATTGTCAAATTACAAAAGGGGTTAAACAACGCCCACATTCTTTTATACATTTTAGACTAAGATCACTTCATGTTAGAAAACAACAAAGTCAACTTGGTTAAATCCTAAAATACTGTTAAGCCACAAGCATGATAATAAAATGTCACCCTCAGAATATGTGTTGAGAATGACTTTCAGCTTCCACCACACCAAATTTTAGCTCAACACCTGTAAAACTGAGCAAGTTAAAGCCATTTTAGTGTGTTTTTCAGACCCACTTGGCTGTGGCAGCCATCTTTTATGTGGATGAATCCAAAGGTTAAATCAGTTGTAGATGTAAATACAATAACTTTATGAGCGTTTCATTAAAATCTGTCCAGAGATTCAATAACAGAGAACAGGTATTGTCTGTCTCTGCTGTGCAGCAGCAGACAAATTAAGAAATTTCTAGGTTTATTTTAAATTACTACAAGTCTGTATTCGTTAACAGTTCTGCAAAAAGATAAAATAAAATAGTTCCCAATTAAATGTTGTATTTAAAGCTACTTTTTAGGCGACATGCACCGATACAACTCTGACTCTGCTTTAATCTCAGGGCACACACACCAAGATATAAAAATCACTGCTCATTCAATATGTAGATGTGACAACTTTAAATGTTAATCTAATTAAGTTCTCATTAGGCAATATTTTGTATCAATCTGGTGAAATGTCTTAATCTGATTTACGTAGCATTTTCAAACAGCGGCTGTGAACTCAAAACACGCGTTTAAAAAAGCTTTTGTTGCAAAAGTAAAACACGTTTCAAAATGCAAAAAAATATAACAAATGAAAGCAGCAACATAAAAGTACGGTGCTAAAATTAGAACTTTGATCCTGAGAAAACGAACGTGCAAGTTTAACAGCAAATAAACATTTGATCATAAAAGGCAACTGTGGTTAATGACTGAATCAAGGTGAAAATAAACTTAAAAGACTGGGGCTTCATTAAACAAGTGAAAATAAGAAACCTGTACAAATATTTTTATGCATTTTATTCCCATTTGTACAACAAAAATGGGACTTTGTCAACAAGAGTTATAAATTTTGACCTGAAAACTTCATGGAAATATCAGTATGAAAAGTTGGAATTTATATAAATAGAGATGTAAGACTGCATCACAAGAAGGCCCAACTATTTACAAGCTTTACCAATCTCATTAGAAAACAAAATAATTAAAAAAACAAAGTATTCTTATACCTTTTGCAGATAAACTGCTTAAAATAAACTGATTATCCATTTATAAACATCACATCTTACTTTAGTTTGATTTACCTGCTCAGGATGGATACAAATATTTAACAGTTACTATAAAGCAAAACATTTCTGCAGCTTCTTTCAACACGTGTCAAAATGTGGGATTTTGGTTGTTGAAGGAAAGTTTTGCATTTAGCTGAGGAAGCATTAAAAATTACAACTGGAAGTCGTACTAGCACACCACCTCTACACCCACAAATTGCATGTTTTACCCCATGATCGCTTCATCACAAGACAACTTTCTTTGCATGCCAGCAAGCTTGGACTTACTTCCTAAAACCAAGTTTTGACACCGGCATGACCACCCCCACGCATGTCCTCGTGTGTTCGTGTAGCCTTGAGGTGCAAACATCCGCAAACGTCTCACAACACATGACTTCTCTTCATTGACAAATTAGTGCCACCATAGGTTAAACATGCATTCTGGCACGATTTTATTATAAAATAGAACACCAGTTTCTCTTAAAGCCACCGCACACAAAGATTTATTCCTTCGACTAAAAGGAGAAACAGCTACCGTCCAAAAAAAAGTTAAACAACAAAACACACAATCTGTTGCTCGTGCTGATCAACTAAACCCAAAAGTTCAAGAATTTTTACAATGTTCACAATGGTGTGAATATCTACAATAGCTACAGGGGTGGTGAAACTACTTGGAGTGCTGATAACGCATGTGTCAATAGTCCACTTCTGAAAATGGACTCGGCCATCAATAATGTTGTTTGAAGATCGAATGGATCCAATGGTTGCTTCTACAACTACCGGCTCCATTTCCTTTAAGTTAAACCACGCCTGTCAGTCACAGATAAACTTCACACTTGCTCGTCAAAAACTAACATCGTAAATAAACCATTTACAGAGAATATTCATGTAAACTGCCACACAAATCATTTAATATTTAGATGCAGATATGTAAAGGAAAAAAATCCCATGTTTTATTCCTCTGATCTAGTGTGTAGGCCTGTCAGGATAACAAATTTTGCTGGGTGATTGTCTCAGAAAATATTGCGATAAACGATAATATTGTTTGGAATTTGACAATAATTAGTAATTATTGTCAAACTTAAGGAGAAATGTTTGTTAATTTGTTTTGCATGTACAGTAGTACCTTTTTTTCAACCACCGGATGGCAATATAAGACTGAACTGAAGGATGGATAGTGAGGGAGCGAGCTGCGTCTCTCTAAGAAAAATGGGAAGGAAGCCCCTTGACGTGACATGGGCTGTCTCGCTTCGGTTCTCAAAATGGCAGCCATTTGGTGTGGTTTGAGCTTTTTAGCATAGCATTTTTCACACAAAGCTTTTAATAATAAAAAAACAAGTTCTCACTTCTTTTTGCAGAGAAAAACTACTTTTTACACTAAGGCACAAGTTGCATACGTGAATTTTTGGAGCTTCGACAAGACGGAAATTTGTTCCCCGAGGTCGGCCTGTTAGCTTAACTCTAGCTTAGCTTCTCAGCTTGGCTGCTTTTAACGATCCAAAAACACAATTTTGGACAGTTAAAATGGATTTTAAAGAGAAAAGAGAAAGGGAGGGGTCAGTGAAGAGCCGATAAATGAAAATGATCATTTTCATTTATCATGCGATTAATCGATTTATTGTTTATTGCAAAAGGCCTACTAGTGCGTCTCCTCTGACTGACCGGGTCCAACAGGTCTACCAGTATGCCTGGCTTTAATCTGAAGGTGGAGATACGATTACTGATCTTACTGGTCAGCTAAGCTAAAACAGAAGGTAGTGGGCACAGTAATGATTTATGAAATATCTTAAATCTTTTCTGAAGCTTTTCTTCACAGAATTGACTGAGTTTCCTCTGCTTTACTAATAATTAAAAAAAAAGCTAAAAATATATTTGCTTTTTTGATTGTTATCCAAAGCTCAATATTGTGCATCCATACAATGAACACTATGTAATAAGCCAACATACAAATCTATTGTTTACAGTTTTATGTCACTCTACTATTACTTAACTCTTCTAGACCAGTAAGTCTCACGCATTTTATGTAAATTGTCATCCAGTTCATCATAGAAACCTCTAAAAAAAGGCAGATCTGTGGTCAAAAAGTGAGGAAAAGGGAATTAAGTGTTGCTAAAAGAAAAGCTGAAGTGGGTTTGAATATTCAAGTTCAAGTCAACTTTGTCGTTTCCACCACATGTGGTACAAGAGGTGGAATGAAATTATGTTCACAGGGTCCTAATTACACCCAACAATAGCAAAATACAAGTATAAAAAGAAACAGTAAATAAGGATCCAAGATATACACTAAACAAACGCCAAACTAAAAGATCTAAGATATACGCTAAACACTAATAATGTAAAAGAATATGGCATAGAACAATATTTCTACCCTCGCAGAGCAGACTTATATAAATACCAGAACTCGCATTCTTGGAAGAAATGAACGATGAGTAGCCTGGGCCAGAAAAGAAACTGATCTAATCCTTTCTCATGTACAGTTAAATCCAAAATTCAGCAGCTAGAAGTCTCATCAAGAACTCATTTTGCTCTCGTGTCAGCCCTGTGCTCATCTCACTACACTGCAACGTTCAGGATTCGATTAAAACTCCTTCTGGTCTACAAATTATTAAGCATCCCAGCAGCTACTCACATCAGTCAGCTCCAACCTCTTACACTCCTTCTGGACCCATAAGTTCTTCTGGTCAAGGCCTCCTGGTCGTTCCTCGCTCTCATCGGAGAACAGGACGTTCTCTGTCCAGGATCCCAGACTGTAAAACAGTCTTCATGTCCAAGTCAAGTCTTAGTCAGAATAGCGAGCTCTCTATAGCACTTTAGAGCACAACTGAAAACCTACATGTTTTTAAGATGATTCTGTATTAAACATATCGGTTTTAATCTCATTTTTACAATGTTGTAATGCTTTTGTACCATTTTTTATTGCCCAGGCCTCAATTGCAAAAGAGATCTGTGATCTCAGTGGGATTTTCCTGGTTTTTAAATATTAGTTAATAATAAGATCAATAAAATAAATGAACAATACATACAGACTAAAATCCAAACATTGTTCTGTGATGGGGTGAGGTTATATGAGTGGTCTGTTTTGATGGCAAATTAAAAAGATAAAATACAGTTCACACTGTCTGCCTTGAAATAAAGGTCAAATTGAATTAAATTAGCATTTTTCATCCCCAACCCTTTTATGATTGAAGGTTGTACAAGACAACTGGACTTCTACTCTTGGTTCTTGAACAAAGAAAGCCAAGTTTCTTTTTATGAAAATCTCACAAGATTTTAAACTTGACAGAGAAATGGTCTCTAATCTGAATTTTTTTTTAAAAAGGCCAACATTATGTTAGTAAACCTGAGCTGGTTGCAAAGACCTGAAGGTTGAGAAACGCCAACATTTAGCCTGACTAGTGATCAAACCTTTGGAATCAGATCCACTTCCGCTGTATGGATGGTGTTATATAACTGAAGGTCCCGACTGAAAAACAGAAATGTGTTTATTCTAGTTGGTAGGACCTAAGTTTTCCTGATGATCGCATTGTTAGAACTTAAAAAAATGATTTAAATTAGTTCAAAGTTATGTTACAACAAAAGATTAAGTTCTAGAAAATCTTAATCAATACCATGATGCAGAAGTGATGGAAAAACTTGCATTTCGGCGTTTGCGTAACCGGCAGTCCAAGTCACTCCTCATTTGTGTCATCGGGAAACTGCTATTATCAGCAACTTTCTGACAGGCAAAAGGCAAGATTTTGATATATTTACATTTCTTTGAAAACCAGGCTAAAATAGAGACAAACAAAGCACGGGGACAAAATGGACTGAGGTCAGTTTGATCGACTTGAGCCAAAGAGGGGGTGATATGGTGTAGAACATGTGGAAATCAATGCAACGATGACATCAGAGTTAAACACCAGCTGGTTAATGTTTAAATGTTTTCATGAGTTTGCTTTAAACCTGGTCAGCTACTGTCAGTGCACTGACATCACATTGATTAGGGGTCTATTTAAATTATACACTATGCTGTTTAGGAACAACATGTTCATTTTCAGGTTTACCATCTTTTGCCAGTGGCGCCTTTTCTTGGCGAATAACAGAACGCAAACTCTTTCATAGACAAATAGAAAGTTGTATAACACCACAAAGAAACCATGGTCCTAAAACAAAAGGCTAACCAGCAACAAAAGTATTTGACAATCTGAATTAAGGTTGATTATTTTTATCCGAGAGATCCTAAGTACTTTAAAACAGTTGCCTGACGCAGTTTTGAAAAAAGATAAAACTCCTGCAGGGTTTCAGATAAAGAGCAACTCCATCTTTAAATATTTTAAGAAAAAAGCTAATTTTGTTATCGCCCGCCACCAGAAGGCAAAGACAAAAGATAACGTTTTTGTCTGCGTGTGCGTTAACAAAATGTCTCATGAATTACAGGACAATTTTTAATAAAACTTGGAGAAAATATTAATCAGATCTACATCTACAGCTGATTTGGAGTCAGCACAATTCAAGATGGTTGCCACAACCAATAGAAACACAAAAATTTTTAGATTTTAGTCAGTTTTACATTTACAGACATAAAATTTGGGGTGGTAGTAGCAAATGAAAACATATTTAGATTCTCTGAGAAAATACATTCCAGTTTATTTGTAGTTAAATCATCTACCAAGTTGGTCTGCACAACAGGGGCAGAGCCAGAGGGGTGGCTAGGGTGGCAAATTAACTTGATTGGCTCTTCCAGGTGCCACCCCAGTTGACTGCAAGTGGCATTGAAGATTTGAGGTTAGAGTAAATAGGGAAGTATAATTAACATAATGTTACTATATAGCATGTACATTTTTTGTTAAATAACATCTCAAGTGTATTTCACCAATAGGTCACCTCTATGCTTGAGTTTGCCCAATGCATTTCAAATTTGTAAGCTATATTGTTATGTAAAGAGTAGAATCCATGCCTTGATAATGACAGAAACTATAACATTTTGTTGCTATAACATTAGTGTTTGCTAGACAAATACAGAAATCCACTTTCAGGAAATGGGCAATATGCTTCTTAGGTACCAGGTTTGAGAAACAAAATTGTTTCTTGATAAAGCCTTGGCCACACTTGCATAAAATTTGCTCCCACACTGCTGCACAATCTACTAAAAACTGTCATCATTACAAAGGGTATTAAAAAAATGCATACAAAAAAAACACTAATTTGACAATTATCAGAACATGTAGGCTTATTGCAACTGATGTAACATTCAACACTAGTGTAACAACTGCACGTTTACCCAATATATACAGCTATTCTCATTCCAAGTTATGTTTTATTTCTCATTTTAATCCTCATTAGGTGTTAAAGCACACACACAAAAAAAGTGATGAAGCAGCTGTTAGTGAGCTACTTGCACTGCAGCTCCTGGTATCACATGAAATGTGTTGTATTTTATACAAAGTGAGAGCTTTAAACCCACATCAGTGATACGTGAGAAACACCTGCCACACACACTCCACACAAAGACAAAATAAATGTTATTTTAATCAAATAATTGAGTTTAATATCTAATCCACAGGCCTGTATACACACATGCTCTGCGGTGAAGCAGCTGCACCACATTTTACCACATGGGTACAAAGTTGTATTTTTTTTTCTGATGCGTCTGCATGGAGGAAGACACTTACGTGACGTGATCTACAGCGACTCCATTGTCTATAAAATCCACTTATTGTTCATCCAGTGTATACTGTACAATAAGGCTGGCGGGTCTCTCTCAATTCAGATGCCTGCTGGTCTCAGAGCTGCTCCCTCCAGGTCCAAAAGCCCTACGAAGTCAGAAAATGGACGCAGACCGCTTCGAGTAAGCCTGCCTGAATACAGCTTTCCATTAAAGAAAAACCCACAAAAACCCCGAGAATTCAGCCTGTTTACCAATAAACTAGAAGGAAGGTGGCTGCTGACACATTTATTAAGTTTAATAAGCAGCATGTCACGATTTAAAAAATGTATATATAAAAGTACACAGTTAAATGTGAAAATGATAGGTCTTTTCAAAACATCGTCACTTACTGTACGATGGCGCCACGCCGAGTGTGTAACGGTCCTTGCTGTTTGGGTCGGTACAAGTCAGGAAGGGGGGCGCCCCAAATTTAGACCCCTCCAATAAAAATAAATATATGAATACAAAGTACGTCACAGGAATAGAAAAATTATAAATCCCATTTTACACAGAATTAAAAACTTTACAAATTGTTTGTTGGACATTAGCGGATAAAATCATTTATGATTTTTCTGGAAACCCCCTTTTATTCCTAAACTGGATCAGTCCAACCATAAACTTGTCCGTTACGCGAACCTCCCACAGGTGTAAACCAAGGACATCAGTGTTACAAAGAGCACGATAAGATATTAACCTACAATTTGATTCGTTTATAATTCGTCAGAGTTTTTGGAATTAAATGTGTAGTTTTAGTGGGTTCAGTTCCTGCGAAAGACGCTTCAGATGCAGGCTATATGGGAGAGTCATTTCATTCAAAATTAAACAAGTAATTTAAAAATTAATAAAAATAAATAATGAAATAAAATTTAAATTATAATTGTTCAGTTTATTTCCACGATTTATTTTTTTTATTTCATGGAAACATTTATTAAATGGAATAGTAAATAAATTTTAAACACCATTTAATTTTGAATGTAATGGCTCTACATATAAGGATCCCCTTTAAAATCAATTGGTTTAATTTCAAAAATTACATGGAAAACTGTTATGTGGTGGGATGAGCACAGGTGGTGCTGCTCTCTTTTGCAGGGATCACTAAAGATGCATGCCAACTTTCATTCAGAACTTTGTGAACTCTCCTCCCAGGACTACTCAGTGGATACAAAGCAAGGGGGACACTCAAACTTTGTCATTAGCCCAAACCAATGTTTTTGGAAAAACCTGAATTGGATTTAGAAGCCTTATGGGTAACTTTTCTAAATCCATCTGGCATTTTAATTTAGCATAGTAGTCAGGGAATTATTCAATTCCTAAAAGATTTTTAAAAATTGAACTACACAACTCAACACATATAGTTCTTTTCCAGGCCAGTTAGTTCACAAGTGAAGTTAAGAATTTAAAAATCATGAAAATTTCAAGCTTCATAATGATTACTACATGCACTTTTAATGTCAGAGTAATTCAAAATTTCCTCAAAGTACTTTTGAAGTTTTTATTTTAAGAACTGGCCACAGTGTTTAACCTGCAAGATTGAAAGACTTAGTTATATGTACAAGTAATGTACAAATTTATTTCCAAACTTATGAGATGATCAGCACAACTTTAGAGGGCACTTGGATATTGTTCCTGCTGCCCAGAACCAGGAATGCCATGAGTGTTAGGAACATCAGAACCAACATGTCCATGCTCCTTAATGTAGTGGACATCCTGATAGTGGTCCTTGCCCTTTTCATGGTTTTTGCTGAAGGTGTTGTAGGTGCCAGGAGGGTACAGGCCATACAGGAGCCTGTAGTCAAATACTGGATAAGGGTATGGATATAAACTAGGGTATCCCCCAAACCTAACACCTGGCAGAAGTGGGTTTGCAAAAGGGTAACTTGCAAATCCTTGAGCAGACCCCATATGGTCATCTGGGTAGCCAAGTTCCTCTGCTTCCTGCTGGTAATTCCCAAGTTCAGCTTCCTTCACAACATTGGAAGTTTCTCCAGAGTGGACAGGACCGGATGGTGCAGGTGGAGGACGAGGAGCTGGGAGAGAACTACCGGAGCTGACAGCTTCAGTGGTGGCCAATCCCTCTTTAAAGAAGATTTTAGGATCCACAGACCATTTGGTTTCTGTGAAGATTGATCATGAATTTAAGAACTTATGCAAAGGCAAGTGATTAAGGTCCACAGCATTTCAGGAGTTTACCTGGTCGATTAGACTTTGTAGAGCTTGCATCTGAGCCCACATGAACAGGAACAGTACGAACAGTATATCCAACTGGAATAGGCACAAAACTAGCCCTTGAAGGATAGTCTGCTTGAGGACTAGAGTCCACACTGCCTGATGCAGCGTCTGTATGAACCAATTGGGAGAAACTGGGAGCTTGTCCAATCATCTGTACTGGCCTGGAGACATAAGACTTGGGTGTATGGCGGCCGTTGGCTCCACCCCGGTGAGAACTAGGATGGGCACCACTGCTGCTCTCATCTTGGGATACCGAGTCTTGTTAGAGAGGGTAAGACATGGGGTTGGGGCAAAAAAATAAAATTATACATATGCATACATATGAGTTATAAAAATCTTGTCAAGTCTTGTTGACGGTAGAAAAACCCACCTTTAGTTGGGAAGCCATGTGTACTCATAATTTGCAAGGCACAAAGGGAAACCCTAAAGTCAAAACACAAAGTTTAAGTAAATATGTTTTATCCTCTAAACACAACTACTGTACCTGCAACTATGAACTGTACCTTAGAAAACCCACAGCAGTCACCATAGTGAAACTCAGTCATAGTTAAGACAATGGTGAGAGTTTTTAAATGTTGGAGAGGACACGTCCTAACCTGTGCTTGATGAGTTAATGACACACAGCTGTTGCCCTTTGACTCTGGAAAAGAAGAAGGCTTCAGTGGTTGTGAATGGGGGGGGGAAGAGAAACAAAACAAAACTGTTTTCAAAGGATTAAACCTTTCAGGCTGGGAGGCCCAGTGACTTGACTAGATCTACTTGTGACTTAAAAATTACTCACAGGAATGGAAAGAGCTTTACACAGATGTGTGTAACAAATGTTTGTGTAGCTAATCCGTTCTGAATCATTCATTTCTGCCCTCCAACACCAAAGAAACTTTAGATATTGTGAAGATGTATTTTGGTTTTGCTGATATCCAAGGCTTACTGCCTCATTGTGCATATTTTAAAGAATGGCTTAGCTTCTACTGTGCTTAATATAACTTTACATCAACAGTACTGTTTCCCCATACTTGCTTTGCTAAAATAACAAGTAAATATCTCTCCCTGCCTTGACATGACCAAAAATCCAAACCAAAAGAGCATTTAAACGTTTGATTTTCATTTTGTATGTCACCAAGCTGAAGGAGTCCTCTTGGGCCTTCTTGGCTGGACTTTGGAGGCAGCTGATGGGTATCGGCAGTCCACGCAGACTGCAGCCCTGACTGCTCCTCAGGCTAAAGCTCAGATATGGGAGGAGTTTGGTGAGGCCTGAGATAGACACGCTTGATTGGCTCTGAAGAGATTCTGGCAAACAATCAGGCAGCTGAGGTAGGGAAAGCAGTATTTTACCCACTGTGTTTAGTGAGGGTGGGGTGCTGTTGACTTCTAGTGATGCTATTGGGTGGTGGAAGGCATATTTCTCAAATCTTCTCAATTGCCTCAGCATGTCTTCCATGGAGGAAGCAAAGTTGGGGGCCTTGGGAGTTTGTGGTTTGTCCATTCGTAACCAGAACTGAGGTAGCAGGGGTAGTTACAAAGCTCAGTGGTGGCAGGGTTCTGGGGGTGAATGGGATCTGCCTTGAGTTCCTCAAGGCCCTGGTGTTGCTGGGCTGTTGCAGTTGGCACGCCCTTGCAACATCTTGTTGACATCAGTGACAGTGCCACTGGATTGGCAAACAGGTTTGGTGGTTCTCTTCTTCAAAAAGAGGGACCAGAGAGTGTGTTCCAATTACATGGGGGCTTCACTCTCCTTAGCCTTCCTGATAAAGTCTATTCAGAAGTGCTGGACAAGAGAGTCTGATCGATGATTGAACCTCAGATTCAGGAGGAACAATCAATCAATCAATCAACCTTTATTTATACAGGTAAATCCCATTGAGCCTCGAGGACTCATTTACAAGAGAGACCTGATTTCAACAAAGAAAGATGACAACAATGGACAACAGCAACAACAATAAGCAGTTATAAAAACTCATACTACAGTTTTTTTTTTTTTTTTTTTTTTTTAACAAATAGGATGGCTAAAAGGAAAAAGGTAACAAAACAAAAAACAGCTAGATTCCAAGACAAATGTGGGTTCTGTCCTAACCTTGGAATGTCGGACCAAATGTTTATCCTCACTCAGGTCCTTGAAGGGTCATTGGAGCTTGCTCAATAAATCTACATAAGTTTTGTGGACTTGGTGAAGGCATTCAATTGTGTTTCTTGAGATAGATTGTGGGGGTTGGTCGCAGGGAGTCCAATTCATGACCTCAGGATTCTGTCTGCTATTTGCAAATGATGTGGCATCCTTGGCATCATTATGCCATGATCTCCAGCTCGCATTAGAGTGGGTCACAGCCGAGTGTGGACCAGCTGGGGCGAGGAACAGCACCTCCAAGCTGAGTCCATACTCCTCAATTGGAAAATGGCTGATTGTCCTCTCTGGGTTGGAAGTGAGGTGCTGCTTCAAGTGGAGGAGTTCAAGTATCTGGGTTTTGTTCACAGGTAAGGAAATAAAGGAGCATAGGATTGACATCTTCCCCAGCGTTGCATCCTCTGCGCTGGCCTGTTTTGGTGAAAAAGGCGCTACAAAGTATGAAGGTTTCTGTTTATTAGTGTCTGTGTTACTATCCTCACCTATGCTCACAATTTTTGGGTAGTGACCTAAAGAATGAAATTGCGAATACAAGCAATCAAAATTAGTTGTCTCCACAGGGTGGCTGAACTCTCCCTTAGAAATAGGGTGGGAAGTTATCCGGGAAAAATTCGGAATAAACCCGTTGCTTCTCCACATTGAGAGGAGCCAGTTGAAGTGGTTGGAGCATTTGGTAAAGGAAAAAAAAAAAAGAAACTGTCCAGATGACCTGACTGAAAATTGTTGGATTGTGTACCTGGATTATTGAGCATGGACTTTTTTGGTATTTTTATTCTTGTCAACCATTTTACAGAGGACCTTTAAGTTTCAATATATTATTGAAATATAATGTCAAGGGGGGAGTGGTGGCACAGAGGTTAGAGAAGGTGATAGGAAGGTCACCAGTTTGACGCCCGGATCTACAACATCAAAATGTGGGTAGGAAAGGTGAAGCACCCACTTCTGCCTCCATCCTCGTTTGCCCCACACTGGGCCCCTGAGCAAGGCCCTTAACTCCCATCATCTGCTCCCCCAGGCACCTTAGATGGCAGCTCTCTGCTCCACACAGAGGGCTGTGGTAGCTCGGTGGTCTGTGGTTGTGTCAGGAAGGGCATCTGCCATAAAAACAATTGTCAAGTCTTCGTGCAAAGTTTGCTGTGGCGACACCTGAGGTAGGGAGCAGTTAAATATATCTGGTGAATGGAATCACAGGGGCATCAACCGAGCTCAGGAGAGTGATGATTCTAACAACATGGTACAAAAAAAAGAACATGTTTGAGAAAAGAGAAAACTATCGCAAAACAACAAAGTCTTTGTGAAATGAAAAACAAACATTCATGTCAGTTGTGACAAAAGTTAGTGAATTTATCTTATTACATATAACATAACACATAAATGTTATATACACACACACACACACACACACATATATGAGAGAGAAAAACAGAGATAGAGAGAGAATTTTAAGTTACCGTACTTTACACGTGACACTGCCGTATAAGCCGCATCAGTCCAAATAAGTCTAATAAAGTGGGAAAAAACATAAATAAGTTGCGTCGTCGTACAAGTGGCATCTATTATGTGTCACAGATGCGTCACGTTTGTTATGCATCACTGCTGACCACCTGGAAACCTGGGCCGGTGTTGTGCCAAAAATCGATTGGCTGCCAAATGGCGGCCACGGGAGTGTGCACAGGAGGACTTTAACAAGATTAACGTTTAAAAAAAATTATTTGTTTGCTCGACATTATAGTAAAGGTGTGTCTCAGTTTAACTTTTCTTTAATAAATGCACTTTAATGGTCAAATCAGCTGCATTTCAAAAATCGATTAGGTAAAGAATGATTGTACAATGCCAGAAATACAAGACCTAAATTAAACATTTGTATAATTTCCATGATTGAGCAGTTAAATAATCCCCTCAAATTCTTAACTTGTGCAATGTTCTTCTGTAAAATTAGCTAAATTCAAAACCACAGCTGTATTGTGAAATTCTTTATCAAAGGTTCGTGAACGATCAGCACAGA